TTAATTACATACAAGAAAACAAATACTAGCTGATTTAATTAAGACATTACATTTAAAAAGTTGAGAGGGAACCAAAAGGAAATAAATGTAAAATTATAATGTATATATTATAATACACTATATGTCAGGTGGTAAATACACGTGCCAATGCACTAGACAGCAACAAGATTGTAATGTGTCTTTCAGAGTTAAGCATGCAAAGCTAATACTAAATTCACAAAATTCCAGTTTGCAAAATCTATTAGTCATCAGTATCTATTAAAGACTTGTAATTTCACAGGGCAAAACGTAAAACAGGTTATAAAAAACCACTTCTATCTATACGGAGTAGCCACTTAACGTCCTCCTCAACTAAAACTACGTAGATGAAATTCACCACATTTAACCATCACCTCGGGTTGCTCATAGCTACTATTTCATTCTACATTCTAGTATACTTTGTGTCACTGTAATCATAATTCTCTAATTTTCTGAACTCTTACATATCATTAGTTACTATTGAAGTGATTTCATAAGCCAAAAACAACTTCAAAAAAAGCCAACTTAAGAGCATTGAGTTTTCTTTATTGTTACAGTTTTCAGAAGAAAAATACTAGTTTCTCTAGTGCTCTACATTAGTAAGAGACTTTCCTTGGATTTAATCAGGCAAGAAATGGCTTTCAGACTCTGCAAGCCTACAGGCAGTGTTTGCTAATGGTAAACTTGATTAAAAACAGTAAGGAAAACCCACTGAGATGCAAAACACAATGTATGCCTTGTTAATCTTTCACAGTTACATGATAACTTACTATTTTGCCCCAATTTTAAGCCCTGCATGACTCTACCATGAACAGGCACATCAGGTGCTGGGGCCATAACTTTGTAATTCTAACATGCTTCCAAATGACTTTAGATTAACTCATTCCGAAGTGTGTAACTATGTAAAATATTTAGCAGTCACTTGACCTTCTTTCTCCCAAAAAGGACATTACGAACATCAGGAATTTGTCCTCAACCCTTGATTTAATTTCTGGAAAGAGACAAAAACACCCATGTATTTGTCCATAATCCGGAAGTGCCAGTTAGGAATGACATGCAGAAATCCTAATGTTTCGTAGTGTGCGGGATACCACGAGCGTGTTAAAATCCTCAGACCGTGCTGTTGTGCCTTTGGGTGCTGACGACTTCTTTTCTCTTTGCTGTGACAGCGGCAAACACCCAGTGCAACCCTGTAACTCAGACCTATCCAAATCTACACTGGGACGAATCACAAGGCACTTTCTCTGTTTATTTTTCAAAGCAAGGCCTATTTACCTGCACACGTCCAAAGACAGAGCCCGCTCGTTGTGCGGAGCTGCCTCAGAGCTTCGCTCCTGTGCCTCCCTCGTGTTGTCCTTGCTGATGCACACCCACAGCGACATTTCCCCACCATCCCGGCACCTTCCGTGCAGGAGGGACAGTCGCCCAACAAGACGCCGCAGTGCTGGGCTGCTGCTCCACCCACGCGTCCCCTCGGCAGATGGGAAGAGACCATCTCTCTTGCAGCCTGGCAGGCAGTGCTGGCGCCCAGGCAAATCCAGCCCCGACCCCACTGCCCACGCGACTGCAGTCTCCTGCCCGCCTTCCCACAGGGTTGGGAGGCTCTGGGAGGACACTCGGGTAGTCACCTCCCAAGGGCAGGAAAGGGAGTTTTGGGGCAGGCAGTCTCCAACTATTGCAGGTAAGAGCAGGAATGAGGGAAGCAGGAAGATTTAAGAGGAGACCAGGTGCTGTGAGAGACACCTTCTGTCACAAGTACGGAGAGGATGTTCAGGAGTGAAAGTGCAGAATTCAGCTCTTCCTCCTTCTCCCAGCCACATTACTGATCCCCAAGGGGTGTTCTGCACCTACCAAGAGGATCCTCAGCACAGCCCACTTGGTTATCTTATCCTTTGCTGCGTCTGCTGACAATGGTCTCAGTTACCATGCACCGCCTAGCAGCCAGCACCCACCGCATGTACAGATTCAAATTATTGACTTTCATATCAGGCATTAGCCTGTGGCTGTGTGCTGAAAGTTATGCCATAACAAAAATCAGCCTGAAAGAGATTGGTGATCTCATGGAGATTATTTATGGGAGAGGGAAACAACAGAGCATCAAGGTCTACATCTACACCAAGAGAAGAAAATACACATAGACAGGATTAGTTACTGCTATTTTTTTAGGGGTCCTGAACACACAGTAAAAAACTATGTGCACAGTTCTAACACCCGTAAATTTTCCTTATCCTCTTGCTTAGGTCAAACATTACATGTTTCTCCTCCATTGCCCCAAATGAGAATTTAATCACCTACTCCATACTGATCCTCAACAGAGCTGTTAATGGGATCATTATTACACAACGCACTCTCAACAGCTGTGTTAGAATGATACTATCTGTAGCAACTTAAATCACACTTAAGATTCAAGCAGCATGAAATGTTATTATCTCAGCAGGGTATGCAAGGCCCGTAAAACAAACAGAAAAATTAAATTGGAACTTTAGCCAAAAAAGAAAACTTTCTGAAAGCTTGCCAACTCAGCAGTACAAGCATTTCACTAAGTTTATAATATATGATGCTGTCAGTCTCAACTTTTACTAAAGAACTGTTTAAAACAAAGTTAAAAACATAAGTTGGGAATATGTTTTTAACTATCTGGTTTTATGGAAATCCTACTGACTTGAGACCAATTTACTTAAATATTTAAGGGCCACATCAATAGAACTCAGTTCAAATTTTACTTAGTTTTAACTTTATGCATTTTGAAAGGTAAAAGGTATTTTTACAATTTATCAATTCATAAGCAAATTTTAGGAGTTCTTTTGAACATGACATCTTAAATATTTACAAAAGTTTATGAGAAGTATGGCTGAAGGAGATACTACAATGCCGGGGATTCAGCTGTAAAGTTTCCAATGTATCCTTTAACAAATCAAATGAACACTAAAAAGATTCCTGCTTCTCTCAGATTACTTCTGTGAATTTGCCACAGCACTTCAATATTTATATAAAGTTCCTCTTAATGAGCAGATTCAATATTCCAACCACTAGCTTTGCTTTTTTCAAAAGAAGTGGTAAAATTTAAAGCTCTGGAAATAATGCAGAAACAAAATCCAGCCAATTAAATGTATCAAGTAAACCAAAAATCTGTGACCGTATGAAAAGGCCAAATTAAACAACATCTAGAAAAAGCAAAGTTAGCACATAAATACGGCAATTCTAGGGTTAGTATTTGCAATAGAAATCTTGTTTTCTCTGTACCTTAGTCCCATCTCTTCTCTAGAATTTGCTCCTCCTCTCTTATTTTGGTACTGCAGCATCTCAATGCCAACTGCAGGAGTCTATGAAGTAGATGCTAATGTTGAGAGCAAGCAGTAGTACTCCTATAGTGCGACCCAGCGACACTATTAACAGTACTACCTTGGATCTCCTCAGCAAGCACTATGTGTCCGACTACATCTACACATGAGCTGCTTCTTTTGTTGCTTATGGTCAGCATCAAAAGCTGTTCCTCAAAATAGCGAATTTGGGGAAAGAAAAAAAAAGTTTTGTCTTACCATATTCTGCACACAGCTACCAAAGGAACGTTTGTTGCAAATTTCACAAAAAAAATTAAAGTTGATTAAACTTTTAATTGCTGCTTTCATGTAGTTTCAAACTAGATATGCAAGCTAATGAACAATTTGTAAGCATCATTAAAGAAATACAGGAAAATCCACAGGGACGCTCATTTATACATTAAGAAATTAGTCATTTCAATAACAGCTAAATTGGATATCACTAATTTCAAACTGATAAAAAACTTCTAAGTGGATTGGAGCATTTGCAGTAAAGAATTTCCTCACACTTAGGGTTGAGATAGCAAGAACGTCAAACCCAAGTTAACCTTTAGGAAAAAAAATTGTTTTCCATTCATTTTGGCTTCAGAAACAGCTTCTCCACCAATTACTACCCGATTTGATTCTTTAAGTCATTGCACAGCAAGCCTAGACTTGGAGAAAAGCTAATCCTACACCTGTGACTAATTCTTTCAAAACAAGAGACTTGAGAACATACAAAGTGACTGTATCTGTATCTTTCCATTAGACCGTTTAAAACCAGTTTTCTTGTTTGACAATGGTTATTTTGGCCAAAGACCAGTGCAAACTATGGTCTATTCGCCCCATCTTTTGATACACAGATGAACAGGGAAGCAATCATATGAAGACTGCCTTAGGCACTCCAAAAACTTCTCTTTTCCCTATCAAGTTGCCAGTTTAAAACTCAAGGTGGTTCAAGGCTCAACTGGAATTAAAACCCAAACTTGCCATAGCCTATCAGAAAACCGCTAAGTCAGCACAGTTCACTGAACTCTTCTACATTAGTACTTACTGCTAGCCTTCTTGTGGCATAGGCTGAACAGGAGAAAATGTTTTATTGCCTTTCTCTCTTAAAAGGTGGACTCAATGATCCTTATGGGTCCCTTCCAACTTGAGATATTCTATGATTCTAAGGTACCATCCTTAGGAACTGCAACACTGGCATCTGGATATGTCCGAGACTGACAAAATTCACAGTCTGGCTACTGGGTCAGACTTCGATGCCTGGCACCTGAGAGACTGGTACTGAAAGCCCGCAGGGAAAGTAGAGCTTCCTCAAAATAAGACAGAGGGCACTGCTGGCTTTTGGTCTTTCGTGCATTATGTGGGGCATATGGGGAGACAGCTGGGAGTCATTTTAAGTATTGCCAGATACTGCCAAATTTTGAGCTGCTCCTCACACGCTCACAGAGCTAAGGCAGACAGTGAACTTGGGAACAGCTTCCTGTGGTGAGAGAGGGCATGAACAGCCACTGCTGTGATTAATGACTTTCCTGCCAACACACAGTCCATAATTTGCATTGGTTGTAATCAAGTAATAGGATCTCTCATCACGTTTATGAGCAATCAATTATAAAACGCCCTTGCTCTGCTAAGTTTATTCTGTTTAAACACATAAAACAGTCAATGCAGAACACCTACCTGGCTCCAAAGATGTCTTTTTTTGCTAGATCAATGCCAGACACCACCTTTACCCTGAGGATACGAGACTCTTCCTGTTAACAAAAAAGAAAACAGGTTTAATGTTTATTCTGTAATTCATTTTGAAGATCAACAGTTTGCAAGAGGTTAAGCTGTGAAGGAACACTCAGCCTTTAGATCGCAGGAGTCTTTCCTAGGTAGGATTTTGAAAAGAAAATCCTCTTGGAAGGAGGTATACACTTTATCTGCTAAAGAACAGCCCAAATCCAAACATGAAGAGCATCCACCTCCAGTGAGAGCTGTTTAGAGTTAAATAAAAGCAGAATAAGAGTAGATAACAGTGATAACGCCATAGTAATAATAATGTAACAATAATAGTAATAAAAGTAGAAGACAATTTGCTGAGCAGGGCCATTTCAAATCCTAAATGATCCGTACTCCACAGAAATTCACTCTGCTTAGACTCTAAAGCTGCCTCTTCAAACACAGGGGGAAAATATTCATAACATTTTCGTCCAATAATGCTAATACCTCTTGGTCAGAGAGATGTCTATGGTTTAAAAAAAGGGTGCAAGATTAAAAATAAATCCTTAAAATTACACTGTTTAAACCTGTCTCACCACCTTGGTATATGCAGAGCTCAAAACCAACTTTCAACGACACATGGCAATTTCTGAAGATGCGTATTACTAGGACATCAACCTGATGCTCAGTTTATCACTTCATTAAGCTCCTGAGCAACATTAGTACAAAAGGTATTTTTTACTTTTTTTTTTTTTTTACCGTTTGACCAGTTTATTTTTGCTACACAAAGAGGCCACCAAAACTAAACCTGGAAAGGATCCTACAGAAACAGGTTCTGCAGTCACCCATATAGTTATACCTTTTTCTCCTCTGATAAGCCTTCCAGAACTGCAAGATACAAGATTCAATTACGGTAATTTGAGACTCCATTCCTTGAAGCTTGTTCAGAAAACAATAACATTTTCCCACAGGTTTATCCTGGCATGACCATACTACACCTACTCTATTTGTTTTAGATAGCTAAAAGCGAGAGACAGATTTGTTAGCTGTAGCTGAGATTTTTGAGATTATTAGGAAGGTCAGAAATACCCCAGAAACAAACCCGTACCTGTCCAGTCTAATACCATTCCTCTAGAAGGAGTCAGAAACAGATTACTTCAGAGAAAGAAAAACAAAAGTCTCATTGAACCTGTCTGCAGGGCGAGTTTCATCCTGACACACATCCTGCCGCAGTAACTGTGCTCCATTAAAACAAAAGCTTGAGGATTTAAATCCTTTCTGAAAATTTGTTTGTTGGTATTCTTTCCAGCAGCACTTAACACTGTAGTTTCTAATTCAGAGAACAGGATTCCTTCCCAAAAGAGCCTAATCCTTACCAGAGAGGTGAACAAAACAGTATGTAAAAAAGAACAATTCGATGGTGGTGTTAGTGAATATTGCAAATTTTTTTTCATATGTTAAATTTTTTCAATCTGTTAATGTCAATACAACATGCCTGGTCTTCTAGAGTGGTTTTAATAGACAAAAGGCAATGAACTTGCAAATTGCGATCAAGAAAATTCCTTCGTTAAGAGAAGACAGCATAGCAAAAAAAAAAAGTCAGAAATGCAGACTATTCTGACCTTACTGAAGGAGAACTGGAGGATAAGAAGTTGTAATACTAAGTAGAGAGGTACAGAAAGAGGGATTTTGGACAGTTACTATATTATTAATGCTACACAAAGTCCAACATCAGCTTTGCTAGAGTGGTATCTTCTTTCTGCACTAAAATAATCTCTGCATATTAACTGAATAAAAAAGATATTTAAAAAAAAAAAATCACACAGCAGGAGGAAGTCCAACTGCTGGAGGATCCCTAATTCAGGCTCTGCAAGACACAAAAGATGCTCCAGACTATCTAAATAGATAGATTCTCAAAAACATACTTGAAGTTTCACTTCGTACTTCAAGCACACCGGAAGACAGACCCTGTTCCCTCCCTTCATGCAGGCTCTCAGCCTCTGCTAAATATTCCATTTTACCAAGCAGAAACAATGCTTTTGCAAATGTTTGTTCAAATTTTCATACGCATGAAATACATGTAATATTTTAAAAAGTAATTAAAACACCTCAATTTGTAACAAGGCCTCACCTATCTACCCTCAAAATTTTTCCTTTAAGTCAGTATGATACTTACTTTGAGAACATCTATTGTGTAAAAGGAGCAAGATGAATTTTGGATGATGGAAAATTCTTCTGCAGAACATGACACTTAATATATGGTACTCTGAACCATGAGTGGCTGGTCAGACAGCTTTTCCGTAAAATAATTCTTTTGTAAAGTAATTCTTTTGTAATGCACTGAACTTGTCTTATCTGTATCATTTTGTCTAAAAACATTCACAAAAGCAGCATAACACCACAGGTGCATACATGTGCACACGTATGCATAAAAAGTGTAATAAAAGAATACTCCAGCTCATGTGACTACACAAAACCTCAAATGATATAGATGAAGGGTTCCCAAATTAAGCTTGCTCAAGCATCACCACGGGTAGTAGTGGGAACCAGCAGCAGCACCCAGCTTCCCAGGCTGTGCACAGGCTGACACCTTAAATTTGGATTCGTCTGATCTCCACTTCCTTAGCTGGGAACACTGCCTGGGGGGAACAGCAACACTAAAGGGCAGAAAAAAAGAAAAAGTTTCATATTCTTATGCTTGCTCCTTGTGTCCCAATTTCTTCATTTATCTCCAAGTATGCTGTGTCAGGTAAAGAAAGGAGTTAAATTTTCACAGCAATAGAGAGGTAATCTCACCTCATTGTCCACCAAAAAAAAAAAATCAGATAAAGGATTGCTTGGCTAGGCACAGCTTGAAACACAGAGCATCAATTACCTGACACAGGTTTCCACCCATTCTTCTCTGAAAAGACCATACAAGAAAAGAAAATTAGGATTTTGGTTTGTTTTTCTTGTAAATCCAGGGCACAACGGCAGAGAGTAGCCAAGACAAGATAACTAAATGTGGAAAAATCCTGAGTGAGAAAACACAGAATCCAAATCCCAAATAAAGTGATCCCTTTGCAGCTTTGAGCCTGAGCCAATCTCCAGTTAAGCAGCACTTAGGCTTGTTGAGATTAAGGACATGTTTACACATACATTTCTTTCAGCGGAAAGTGCCAACTTAAATGGCCTTCCCCTCCAGTTTATTCCATTCCCACCAAGGTTTTTCTGAACCTAGGTCAACACCTTGAGCCAGTGGAGCCCACAAACAGCAGGCCAACAGAGCTGAAGATAAGGGAAGGAAGAAATGGACAGTCAGAAATGAAGGGTAGATGGAGGCAGCTGCTTAAAAGCCAGTACTGCTATGCAAAGATACAGATAAAAGATACTAGGATGAGAGGAAATGGCCTCAAGTTGTGCCAGAGGAGGTTTAGATTGGATGTTAGGAAAAATTTCTTCACCGAAAGGGTTGTCAAGCGTTGGAACAGGCTGCCCAAGTGGTTGAATCACCATCCCTGGACGTATTTGAAGGACGTGTAGATGTGGTGCTTAGGGACACGGTTTAGTGGTGGACTTGGCAGTGTTAGGTTTACGGTTGGACGCTATGATCTTAAAGGTCTTTTCCAACTTAAATAATTCTGTGATTCTGTGATATATGTGGCACCAAGACCAGAAATTCTAGGCTTCAGTCTACAACACTTAATAATATTCAGCTGAGCTTAGAAAATGCTGACTTGCCTTTTATTTTTACTCCAAACACCTAGATTTCCAGGATGGGGAAGTCCTTACGTACAAGCACGGAGAATGTCTTCACTGAGTTCTGTGTCATCTGGACACACCCTCGGGATTCAATAATAACAAAAAAAACCAGCCAAAGGCTTAACCATCACTCCAGAATCGGATTAAATAATAACAAAAACAGCCAAAGGCTTAACCATCACTCCAGAATTAGCTAACTATAAACCAAGACCACTTGCCAGTAAAGCTAACACCTCTTGTAAGCCCTGGGCTCACTGCTCATGCTCTGCACAATGTGATTGATGCCTCTGAAAAGTGTAAGACCTTTGTCAGCAATCCAGCACAGCCAAGTCCAGTGCCACCTCTAAGTACCTATGTGTATGCTCACCAGCACCCAATCTGATATATCCTGCAAAGACCAAGCTGACTGTGTTTAGTAGGCAGGAAAACCCCAGACACAAGTAGAGAATGGGATGAGGAAACATATTTGGAGGATTAAGACGAAGTGGTATGTTGCAGAGCTATGGTTCTTGTTGGGATCCTATGCATTGGAGACAGGGTGTGCAGTTAGCTTGAAGGATACGTGGAGGGACATATGGCTGGAGTTCCAGTTTGCAAAACGTGTAAATGAACAAGACCATGCAGAGCAGGTTAACAAGGCTGAACAGAAAAGAGACATTCACAAGCACAGATCTGCAGGGAACTAGACATACAAACCACAGAAGCAAAGCTCCCTAGTGAGGGATCCCCACATGCTTTTACACTCGCTCACTGCGCTGACGGAGACTGACCAAACCAGCCGTCAGAAGTGGGAAACGAGGGCCTGCTTCAACACCACCGCAGCTGAACCACAATACATACTCTTCCTCAAGCATCAGATACAAAGTGGAAAGGGATGCTGGAGAGGTCCCTGACCAGAGGAAGATGATTTTTTGGTTGGACTTAAAGGTACTTGCTTAAGTAGCCTGTGCATATCTTAAAAATGAAACATGCCACATGACAATACTGAGTTCTTTACAGATAAATAGCTTTAGGTACCACATGAATTGACATGCTGCTGAGCAGAAAGACAACCTTAAACTGTCTAGACCACAACCTGATATACACAAATCCAGTAGAGCACAATTTATTGGCAGTTAAATATCTTTACTGAAATACTTTCATGAGTAATCAATCATACAACGCATTCTCACAGAGCAGTTTTCCCAACACAAACAAACTTCCATTTTCCGGCGACTGTATCTTAACATCCCTCTGAGTCAGTAAAAAGAGGCAATCGCTTACCACTTACTGAGGCGGTCAGGCTCAAGGACACAGTCTTGGGAT